TCTTTCTCTGCCTTTCCATCATATTTTTAAACTCTTTAGCCCAGGGCTCATTGGATTCAATGGAAAGTTTTCTGCACAGTTCAATGAATACGGGGTCCAACTGTAAGACAAAAGTTAATCAGCTTATTTCTAGTTAGCATGCTCTTAATACTGAACACATGTGCAACAGATTTGCTGAAAAGATAGATTTGAGCATGGGCTTAAAGGCCTCCTCGAACTACGGCCTAAAAAACATAAAATCCTAAAATACTGCACAACAACCAAAATATTCAACTGTTTCAACAGGGTATTTGACACATACTTGCTAATTCTGAACAGAACATTATGAAGATATTTGGTTTTATATTTAAATGTCTATCAGTATACAGTTATGATACAGAAGCATGACAAAGGGATATTATCCGAATCAGTTGTGCATGCCTTGGTAGCAGAATATAAAGTTCTGGCATTGGGACTATCAGATCAAATTTGTGGAACAACAGATATTCTGCAGGAGCTGTTTAATGAAATGGATCATTTATTGGCCGTAACCAAAAAKCAGAGACTTGAGTGCAAAAATGCAGAAATATTGTATTTGCACACAACTGGAAGCACAGTTACGATAAAGACTGACAGAGCTGGCTGGTTCTTTTTCCAAAAAGTGTTTCCACATCCATCTCTGTTCTAATTGTTCCCCTTATTTTTCTTMGTCCTCTTTCTTTCTATGGAGTCCGACAAAAGAATTCCACCAGTCACCAGATATATCACCTTAGGCTGGAGCTTTGCTCTGTGACATCTCTGCTTTGGGCTTTCCTTGAGCTGAGTGGCCACTCTGGGTGGTGGCCTGGGAACACAGGGCCATTACAGGACACAYAGAACAAAGTGCCAATACAAATTGTTTCCTCTGTAAGAGGAAAACATTTGGGTTTTTGGTTTTTTGGGKTTTTTTTTGTTCTCTTCCTTCAGGGAAATGATGAGCTGAGCTAAAGCCTCCTCACTTTCCAGATGACTTTTTATATATATATTGTATGTATTATACAAACATTGGAATATTGCCATAAGTATGTTATTTATAATATCCTATATTACTATAATTATATTAYTATAGTATCYTATTAAATGCAAAGAGATATGCCTAGTTGCAATGTAGTTATTAGATGTTCAATTTCAATTGATTGTCAAGAACATAGTCATTAAGATTAAACATCTGTTTAATAGGTATATCTTATTACACAGTTGTACTTAAGTCCACAGGCAAAATCTGATTTAACATGAGACATAGTTTAAATAAACTAATTATGCAAGCATGATCTAAAACCAAGCTAAACATGGACCTTTGAAAATGACACATGAATTTAATCAAAGCCAGGGCCTCAAAGTGAGCAGAACTTAACCACTGGCCTGACTCATGCATGTGTTTTGATTTCACAGCTGAAACCARTAAAGCCAGCACCCTCTGGGGGCTTCCTGACTCAACAGTGCCTCCCCCACCCACCGATTACAAAGCAGCAAGTTGTCTCTTTGGTTCCAGTTACAGGAAACATGGCTGTGTCTGTTTGGGGAAGCACGAGCCATCACCTCTCCAACGGTAGTGGAGTCTCTGGAGGATTGATCTGAAGGCTCAAGGTTGGCTCAGCCAAGGGGTTCACCCCAAACAGGACAGGTGCTCCCACAAAGCCATCTCACCCCATCAGCCCCTGACCTTGAGATCCCACCCAACAGCAGACCCATCACAGACCCKGTCCTGTGCTGTTTTATTATTTGTCCAAACTATTAAATTAATGCTCCCACATGAGAGGGAAAAAAACAGATGTACAAGGGTGGGCAGAGCTGGCTTTAAGCAGAGGCATGGCAAGGAAGATGAAGCCTGGCTGCTCAACAAACCAATCCCTGACCCTACAGCCCCAAACCCAGGTCYAGCATAACGTACAGAAATTCCTCACCCAAGTGAGGAAAACCTGGTCTGGTTTATTTTCTGCTAAATTTAGGACTTAAAGGGGAATAAATCATGTATTTGGATCCAAGAAGACTAAAAAGTGTTTCCACAAACTCAAAGCAGGTCTCAGACAAACCTCACCAATATTTTTTCCTGTTTTATTAACGGCCACACCGTCAGCAGGCTCAGCTCTGAGTCTCCAGGGAAATAATCCTACGTGCCTTATTGACAGTGGGAGACTGGCTGAGCCTTTTGATACACCCATTCCTCAGTTCTTTCAGTACTCAATGATTTTCTCAAGAACTTTAGCTTATTGCCACAGGAGAAATAGAGCTGGTCAGGAAACCAGATATGAATTATTTGCAATTCGGAATTTTTTCCATCTGGATTCAGAAATCAGCTTCATGTCATGGAAGTGAAATTCAACTTTAATATTGAAATATGTMATTTCCAGGATGAATTACGATCTCTCAGATGTCCAAATACCTTCCTAGAGGACTCCAGCGAGTCAAACAGCCTYGATCGCTACAGCCCAAGCCTGACAAAATTTTTGTTGGCTTCAGCACYGCCCGTCCCTGCCAAGCAAGGGTGAAATAGCATCTCAGTAATTTTGCCATTAGCACTCCATGTTGAAAAGTGTCACATTCATTTTCAAATCTGTCGCGGCCATTTGGCAATTAAAGACCTCCGAGATCCAAAGGCCGTGGAAACCGCAGGTCGCTGGCAAGAGGTGAAAATCGCAGAACCATGGAATGGTTTGGGTTGGAAGAGACCTCAAAGATCAGCCAATTCCAACCCCCTGCCATGGGCAGGGATACCTTCCACCAGGCTGCTCTAAACCCATCCAACCTGAACACTCCCAGGGATGGAGAATACCCAACCTGTGTCAGTTCATTTCTACCCTCATAGTAAAGAATTTCTTCCTAACATCCAGTAATTTAAACCTTCCCTCCCTTCTCCTTCAGGCTTTTTTCTCCCTTTTCCTATCACTACACACCCTTGTGAAAATTCCCTCTCCCCAGAGGAAGGCAGGTGAGGAGCTGGAGGCCCAGAACCACCATCCCCTCAGCCCCAGAGCTCTACACCAGCAATTTGATATTCCCAAATTCAAATGTTCCTCTTCAGCACACCAGAACTGGCCACACTCAGGGCTGAAGTGACCATGAGGAGCTGTGACTATTGGACCAACTCTTCGCTTCAGGTTCACAAACAATTGAAACAAAATCTGATGGAACATCAGAAAAACAAACTTTCCACCAAAACTTGTTTGTTTCCCATGGGAAGTCCTCAAAATGTAATAGTTTCTATAAAAAGTTTCTATAAAACCTTAATGTGTATCAAGTCAGTGAGTTCTAATGGATCCAACAAAGAACTTCCATGAATTCTTTTTCATTTGACTCTGATTTTTTCCCAAAATAGCTTCATCTTTTTTCAAGAATATACGTCTAAAGCTATAGCAATGCTAAAAACCTCAAAAACAAATGTGGGTGSCACACTCTCAATACAGAGGCCAGAAAAACGTCACATTTTTGTTCTCATGGTTTCTAATTGCTTAGAGATGGCAGCGCTGGCAATTGATGCTATGGAATGTTACTTCTCTTCCCACATCTCAGTAATTGTTCTAATGACCTCCTTGCAACATATTGGTGGAAATGTCAGGAGATTTCATGACAGATATGAAATTCATGTGATTGCCAGTAAAGCAGCATAAAGACTCCAAAAAATATGCCACAAATATTTCCCCACATATTTTAATACAGCCATGTCAGGACTACTCGCAAGCTTTTATATTTGTTGCATGAATTGGGTGCCCACATCCCATCAGAAGACAGAGGTTTCCAAGGGCTTCCAAAAGAGTTTTGCATAGATTTATGAAATTATTATTAAGCTCACATTTGCCAAAACTGTGCCTTTTGAAGTGCAACATATAATAAACACTGAAAGAAAACATGTTATCTGAACAAATAACATAAATGATACCTGTGTCTACAAAAAAAGTTCCCAGTGGACTCTCTCTACTCAAATCATTAAACTCATTAATGATACYTTTTCTTACTGCATTCTGAGCTGCCACACCAACAGGGTGAGTAGAAATAATCCAATAAAATATCCAAACTCCACCCCATGATGTTCCCCCAGCTGTGGGAGAAGGATCTCTCTATATTTCTTAGCTACAAGTGATATAAGCCTTTCATAAGAGGTACATTGCAGAAATCAATTCCTAAATTAATGCTTATATGGTTACATGTAGTGTAAAACTACCTCAGGCTCAAGCTTCACATTGTGGATGAAATCACATATTTTCTAGCTGGTTTAGAGTTTTGTTCTATTTTGATTTCTCCTAATTAACTACAATGCCCTCAAATAAAGAGCCAAATTCTCCTCAAACTGGTTCAGAACTCATTTTAGCCAAGACCTCATCTCCCTACTATTTTGCTTTTCCCTAGCAATTCTTCTTTAAATAAATTTAAAAAAAATACAAATTAAATCCCCCTCCACACCACAAATCCACKGTTTCCTGCAGTATAAAAAGCCTGTGTTCCCTGTGTCATTGAGCTTCAATGCCATTAATGTAATGAAGTATCTGTTGCACTTCTCTGTAGCAGCTCYAGCTCCAWRGAGCTTTAGGCACAGCTKTACAAAACACCCCAGCTCAGTCAGTGCATCTTCTGACCAATTCCAGGAGCAACCAGTGAGTTTTGGCAATGCCTCAGATAAATAAAGATGTTAAATCCAAGGGCTGACATCTAATCGTTAATTTAAATTAGTGCTTTTTTAGTCACAATCTTTGGAATCTTTCAGAGATGGTAGAACCATGCAAACTCTCCACAGGGATGGATGAATATCACACTAAAAATGAGTGCCATGTCCAAGCAGACATTCAAAAACAAGTTTAACCCAGGTCCCTCAAACGGTTCCACTCAGACAGCCACTGCCCCTGTGCAGCAGTGCCAAAGAAAATTACATCTGTCCAAATTTATAAGAATTCTAATCTAACATCAGGAAAATCCAAATCAACAAACCCCAAAACCTCGAAAACAGTATGTTTTTTTCTAACATTTTAAAAATAAAAACATTATTTTACCTTCTTCCAAGTATAAGTGGAATTAGCAGCCAAGTCCAAATTGGGAAGTGTCTGAAAACCCATCCCAGTCCTGGACCATTTCATATCTGCTTCTTTCATGCTCTGGGCCCATGGCCATAAGATGCCAGCACTATTTYCCCAGATTTGCAGATCCTCTGACCTTCATGAGAGCTTTCCATASCTGCATCTGGATCTGATTGCTGAGAACCTGGCTCACCTCTGTTAGAGATGTACTCAGGTCTTGGACTTCCACCCTGCATTCCAGAGAGCCTGCCGTGATTAATGTGCTCTGAATGAAAACCATAAGAACCAGAAGTGATTTTCAACTGATTCATTAAAATAGCATTCATCATGATAATTGATTGGTTAATTAATTATGGCCTTAATGCAGATGTCATCTGTATTTCCATAGGAATCCTTTGGTAGTTTCCAAATTCATTCATTAAAGCCTGGCTGGTTTACAGTTCTACACCATCTCACGGGGCAGACCAGCAGAGAAAGAGAATCCAAAGAGCTCTACTCTCTAAGAAAGACAATATCTTCTACAGTTGTGATAAAATTCCTTCAGCAGCAGCACCTCAACCTCCTCCCATGACTAATGCTGAACAATTGGGCAGCACAGGAGCCACAGACTCTCCTTTTCCTRCTCCTCCCCTGTCCACACAAACAATTGCAGAGGATCTTTGGAGGTGCAGCTGTTACATGGGGTGACTGCAGCACACAGGGAGAATTATCACAGAACAGAAAATGCAAAGAAATTGTGAAAAATRTCAAGGGATCTCTGGAAATTTACATCAAACATGAGCAGGTTTTGGGGCTCCCATCTGAAAGAGGTGTGCACTAGGAAAATACAGAGCCAACTGACACAGACTTTTCAAGTTTCCAAGTGTTTGTTGYCCAGATGTCCATTAGCCTGGCAGACAGAGCTGTCTGTCAGCCACTTGGAATGGTTACCTTTAGCATGGTTATTCTCTGGCATAGATTTAGAAAGCTGGACTCAGCACATCAGACTTGAGCCTGAACTCACCTGAAAATGTTACAGCTCAGAYAGGCCAAAGGCAAGGATTTTCTTCCAGCTGTGATCTGATATAGCAGAGTTTGAGTTATGGGGATTCATTTCTTAACTCTGCCATAGGCTTTTCTGCATGGCCATGAGCAAAACCTTCTTTTCTCTGTTGCTCCAGTTTTCATCTCTAAGACAGAAATGATGGCAAACYCTCTCCAAGGCTATGGAGAAGATGCATTCACCATATTAATAACTAGGAAGTGCTTAGAAATTACAGCTTCAGGGGACACAGAGATACCCYGAGAAGGAATCCACAAAGAGCAGCACAGAATGAAGAACTTGCTGTGGCTATGTTCTCCTTAGTTCTTCCTGCTAACCTCTTTTTAAKTTTTTTTCTAATCTTCTGGTGCCATAAGCACTGCCGGAGCACTTGCACACCGCTGCTCGACAGGTGATCCCTTAGGCTGAATATTTAGCTATGGAAAAGCAATGTCAGCCCATTGACTTCAAACACGCCCACATCTATTTTTTCACCCCTGAAGTTCCAGCMCACCACGTTCTCCTCCTGCTCAGGACTCCTGGATGTCTCCCCCAGCTCTGAAAATAGAGTTGCTGTACAGGAGAAACCTGCAAGTGCAGGGTGGGGARGGGGCCACAGTATGGACCCTCACTGGGGACCCTCCTGGCACAGCCAGGAAAAGCACAGGCAGGGATTTGTGAAGAGCCATGGCCATAAACCCATCAAAAGTCTATGTATGACCCACTGCAATTTGATGGAAATGATGTTTTTTGAACTGAGTTTTAAAMGGGGAGAAATCAGCAGAAATGCACATATGCTTTCCCCTTTCCCTTTCCTCCCCTTAAATCTCTGATCTTGGTGGGATAAAAACCAAGTCAGGAGCAAGAAAAGCCCTTTCTGTACCGGTAGCCTAAAAGCACGGGAGGGCTGTGAGAGTTTCCAGCGCCAGATGAGAGATGAGGGGGGTCTCTGTGATTTACCATTCCCCATCTCTTCCTTTGTTCTATCTCCACCTCGACTGTCAGCTGTTTTGCAAAGGGGCTGGCAGTCAGGGGAGAGGCTGGTGTGTGTGTGTGTGCGTGAGTATCCAGTTCAGGCTGGTTCCTGGCTCAGGGAAGCATTTTATTGGATTTGTTACTCTTTGATGCTGATTAAGCCCATGGGGTAGAAAAAAGCAAAAGAGAAGGGGAGTTTGGGGGGAGGGGAGAGATGCAGTTTCCCTGTGGCTGCGATGTTTTTAATTTATTATTAACCATCTCTCATGTGTTATCTGACAGTTCTGTTGAATTCTGGATGCAAAGGAAAGCAGTGCCTGCATTTACAGTTTGCTGGGGTGCAYGTCCCCAGTCTCCCCAAATCAAAGCCTGGGCTGCTCACAGAGTTATCCTTTGTAGATGCTAATTTTAAAYAAATAGATTAGTAGGAAATTAGTTTCCTAGGAGTTGGAAGGCTGAACCATTGCAAGGCCAGGACTGCACAATGGAGAGCTCGAGACAGCTCAGGAGTGAAGGGTGAGACACAGAGGAGCAGAGCATGCAAAAGGAAATCTGCAAAGAGACCCCAGAACAGCCCAGACTGCGCTTCCAGCTTCTTCCTCAGGTTTTGTGAACACATTCCCCAAAAATGACTCAATCCCCCCAGTTTCTGGACTCCTCTCAGGTCACAGGCATTTCAGTGYCTGGACACACCAGGACTACAGGCACTGTTTGGATTTTTAGTGAAGCAGTGATGTGTTTACCCTTCCAGATGACCTTCCAAGAGGATGTTTCCTCCAGGCACACAAGTGCTGTTGCCTGATCCTCCCTCAAAACCTTCAGCAGCTGCACATTTCCCCAGCTCTGACACACAAATGCCAGCAGTCAGAASCAGCTCAATCTTCTACATGAAAATCAGAGACTGGAGATTGGAAGCCTTGGTCTCTATTATCTTACACAGCCATGTACAGRGCAAAGCTGCAAAGCTCTGAGCATGCCAGCAGAGCACCAGTGTGCTCATTAGGTTCATACTGCAGTCACAAATAACTGTGATGCTGGACAATCCAACCTATAACTTCAATTTTTAAAGCCACCAGTAGGTGACCACAGCAGGTAGGGATCAAGAAGAGAAGTAGCAATTTTTCCTGACMTGTCTTTGAAAAGGCTTGGAAAGAGAAGGCCAGAACCTCCTTCAGTGGTTACAGGACAAGCAAATGTTGTCCTCGACGCTGTTTATATTTTATGTTGTGGTGGTTACCAGCGCTCCAAGTCAAGGCCCCTGTAGAAATGGATCTTGGCATTCTGTGAAAAATCATGGCTGATATGAAATAATATTTAGTATGAGGGGACACCAGTGAGATGGGKTTTCCTGTTGCAGTACACACAGCTGCAGGGTGGGATGTGAGCAAACTGCAAGGTCAACATCCCTGAACATCTCACTGCACACAAACCCAAAACAATAATTTAAATCAAAGACCAGCACATGGACATAAAGAGGTTCTGCTGCAGCACAGCCCTTTCTCCATCCTTGGGTCAACCCATCTTCTCCCATTAGACTGCCACCAGGATATTTGGGAACTCCTGGCTGATGAGGACCAGGGCTGGTGCAGGGACAGGAGGTTCCGGACACTCAGATCAGCTCCTGCTCTTAAACACTGCCATCTCCTGGGGCAGGGGAGCCAGCACAGCCCCTCCCTCCTCTTCATCAGCCACTTGTTMATTATAAACTAGGGTTTGCATCACCTCTGAGGGCATCAGCAGCTCCACCATCCATAGGGCCTCAAGCCAGACAGAGGCAGCAGCTAAACCAGACAGCATCTGGAAAGRACACTCTCATTGTGTCTACCAACAAGGTCTGTCTACCAGCATGCTTGCTGAAAGGGCATTTTTCAAGGCCACCTAAAACATGGTGCCAYGCAATTTCAAGCATTTTTAGGGAACTGTGTGTATTTAGTGCTCTGTGCAAATGGGTGCAAGAGGAGACTCCTTAAAAGTTCACACCTCAGGGAAAAMCAGAAAAATAATTTTCAATTGACCCCAGGCTCCTCCACGAGTATTACTCCCAAAACGTCTGTATCTCTGTTGGCAAAACCCTTCACACCATGTTTTATCTTATTGCTAAAAATAAATCACTTGTAAATTGTTTTATAAATTATGTATAAGAAGAGACCTCATAGTCTAAGATGTGCTACCAGTGTATTCTACATGATAAAAAAAAAAATCTAAAAGGATCTCCAAGGGTGGGAGGGGGAAGGGAAGGGAACACTTTTATAAATAATATATTCAGTGGTCAAAGAAAGTTATCACCTTTTATGAAGTGTTTGGGATTCATTATGCATTAAAGTGCAGCACTGCTTCCAGTGTGCATGATATCAGGATGTGATTATTAAGCATTACAGCCACCAACTAAGTGATTATTGGTGTCATCATTTGTTTATCTAACCAAAACCTAGACTGCCACCTCTCATCAGTGGAAACAAACAGCTGATGTGTTTGACTAGTGCCAAAGGAACGCTGTCGATTATTCCCAGGGAGATGATGTCCCCATCATTGCGGGTTTCATTTGGTATTCATTGTAATAGCGCTGATCCTAATGAATTCATTTGGTATTCATGTGGATGTCACATGTATTTCCAGAGATGTTCTGCTGTAATTTAGCATGGGTTAATGGACACCTCTGTTAAAGTGTTATTGAAAGTTTGACATTCAAATAACCCGGTTTAAAATCAGACAAACCTAGATATTAAAGCTGAAGGGAGAATGGGGGKAGGGATTGGAGTGGGAGGGGAGACTGAAATGCCACGCTGAGATGGTGACTYTTATCTGTCTGCTGGGGAGGGAACACTGCCCCATCCCTTCCTCTTTCCTTCCTCTCCTAGCTAACCAGCAGCAGAGCTTGGACTGTATTCAGAGACTTTGTGACAGGGCTTTTCACCCCTGAACCATCTCTCCTGCCAGGGTCAGCCTGGCTGGTTCCTTGCCTGCCCAGCGCTGCACCACGGGAGGGAAGAGCCTTTGGGAGCACACCAAACCACAGGCAGGGCTTGACAACATTTCTGCTTGCCTTGACAGASTAGGCACAGAGGCTTGGACCCTCCCTGCATCTCCAAATGCATCACTAGGATCCAGGGATGAGGTTGAAACGAGTAGAAGTGCTGTTATTTCCCACATTTGGAAATACTGAAATTGATTTTTCTGTGTTGTAAATTCAGAGAGCAGGTGATAAGGATGGCTGGATTAGCCCAGAAAGTGGCAGCAARTACAGTGTCTTGTGAACTAAATCTGCTATGGAACAGGGCAATTCCCTGGGCATTTTCAAGGAGCTCAAACCTCTTATCCCTGCATTGTCAAAAATCTTGAGATGCCACAGAAAGTCACATTATAAAAAAATAATATCTAGAGAGTCTTAAAAAATTAACATTTTCTTATTTTCTATTAGTTTATTCCAYGTCATTTTGACAATAAAGAAGCCAACCCTTGCAGGTCCCATCCCTCAAGTGCTTTTAAGGACTCATCAAACACTGAATTTAT